CACTCCACATCAAAATTCCCTTTTTTTTCAGAAATGTAAAAAACAATCGTAACATTCATATGGAATAACAAAAGACCATGAGTAGTCAAAGCAATCCTGAGCAAAAAAAATAAAGCTGGAGGTATAACACTACCTGACCTGACTTTAAACTATACTACAAAGCTATAGTAACCAGAAGAGCATGGTATTGACATGAAAACAGACACATGGACCAATGGAGTGGAATAGAGAATCCAGAAATCAACCTATTCTCCTATATATACAGCCATCTATTTGACAAAGGCACCAAGACTACACACTAGGGAAGAGACTACCTCTTCAGTAAATGATGCTGGAAAATTTGACATTTGTATGTAGGACAATGAAACTAGACCCATACTTCTCACCATATGGCAAAACCAATCCAAAATGGATTTAAGAATTAAATATACATTCTGAAATAATAAAACTCCTTAAAGAAAACATAGGGGAAATACCCTAGGAAGTAGGATTATGTACAGAGTTTATGAATACAAACCCAAAGCATAGGCAACCAAAGGAGAAATAAATGAGATTATATCAAACTAAAAAGCTTCTGCACAGCAAAAGAAGCAATTAACAGAGTGAAAAGACAACCAACAGTGTCAGAGAAAGTATTTGTAAAATATACATCTGACAAAGGATTAATATCCAGAATATACAAGGAACTCAAACAACTTAACAGCAAAAAACCAAGTAATCCGATTTAAAAAATGGGCAAAGGAGCTGAATAGGCATTTCTCAAAGGAAGATATATGAACGGTCAACAGACACATGAAAATATCCTCAACATCGCTCAGCATCTGGGAAATGCAAGTCAAAACCACTCTAAGATACCATCTCACTCCAGTTAGGATGGCTAATATCCAAAAGACTGAGAATGACAAATGCTGGTGAGGATGAAGAGAAAAAGGAACACTTCTACACTATTGGTGGGACTGCAAAATGGTGCAGGCTTTGTGGAAAATGGTATGGAGGTTCCTCAAACAATTACAGATAGACCTACCATATGACCCAGCTGTTCCACTGCTGGGTATGTACCCAGAAGAGTGGAAATATTCAGGTCAAAGGGATACCTGTACTCCCATATTTATTGTAGCTCTATTTACAATAGCCAAGAATTAGAACCAGCCCAAATGTCCATCATTAGATGAGTTGATAAGGAACTGTGGTATATCTACACAATGGAATAATACTGTGCTATAAAGAAAAGTGAAATACTACCATTTGCAGGCACACAGATGGACTTAGAGAAAATTATAGTAAGTAAAATAAGCCAGGCACAGAAAGAGAAACACTGCATGTTCGCACTCATTTGTGGGAGCTAATAAAAATAAATAAACATACAAACAAATAAATGGGGGGTGGTGGGGGCTGGGAGAAGACACTACAATCACTACAAGTCCTTGAACTTGTTGAGACAAGTGACCAGATATGATGTTGACGGGGGTTGAGGGGGAGAGGGAGGAAAGGCAGAATTGGTAAAGGGACATGAAAATTAACTACATTGTATACTGATAAATTAAAAACAAAAACGAAAACGTATTGAAATATCATCTCAACCTAGTTAGACTGGCCATTTGTAAATTAGTACAGCCATTACGGAAAACAGTATAGAGGTTTCTCAAACAACTACAGATGGAACTACCATATGATCCAGCAATCCCACTACTGGGCATAAATCCAAAGGAGTGGAAATCATGTCAAAGGGATACCTGTACGCCCATGTTCACCACAGCTCTATTTACAATAGCCAAAATATGGAACCAACCTAACTGTCCCTTGATGGACAACTGGATAAGGAAAATGTGGTATATATACACAGTGGAATACTACTCAGCTATAAAAAAGAATGAAATTCTGCCATTTGCAGCAACATGGATGAGTCTGGAAAAAATTATGTTAAATGAAATAAGCCAGAGAAGGAAAGAGAAATACCACATTTTATCATTTATAACTGGGTGCTAATACAGAAAGAAAGAAAGAAAGAAAAGAGCAAAACAATATGTTTTACTTTCAGAAGGGGAAAGCAAACCTAAGGATCGTTGAGATGGGGGGGGAGGCAGGGACGGGGAGTTTGAGGAGGCATCTGTTGGGTAAAGGGCATAAAGAAAAATCACAATCTGTAATAATAGTATGCTTATAATAAATAATAAAAAAAATGAGCAAGGGAGCTCAACAGACTTTGCAAAAGAAAACATACAAATAGCTGACAGGTATATGGAAAAAGGCTCAACATCACTAATCATCAGGGAAATGCAAATCAAAACCACAATGAGGTATCATCTTACTCCAGTTAGAATGATTACTATCAAAAAGCCAAAAATAACAAATGCTGGCAAGGATGCAGGGAAAAGGAAACTCTTATACACTGTTTGGTGGAAAAGTAAATTAGTATAGCCATTATGGAAAACAGTATGGAGATTCCTCAAAAAACTAAAGATAGAACTACCATATGGTACAGCAACCCACTGCTGGGTATTTGTCCAAAGGAAAAGAAATTAGCATACAGAAAAAACAACTACATCCTTATGTTTACTGCATCACTATTCAATCAACCAAGGTGTCTACCAACAGAGGAATGGGGAAAGAAAATATGGTATATATTCACAATGGAATACTACTGAGTCATATAAAAGAATGAAATTCTGTCCTTTGCGGCAACATGGATGAACCTGGAAGGCATTATGTTAAGTGAAATAAGTCAGGCACAGAAAGGTAAATACAGCATGTTCTCACTCATATGGGAGCTTAAAAAAAAAAAAGTTCAGATTATAGAAGTAGAGAGTAGAATTGTGGTTACTAGATGCTGGGAGGGGGAGGGTGGATTGAGACAGGTTGGGGAATGGATACAAAATCACAGCTAGAAAGGAAGAACAAATTCTAGTGTTCAACAGTAGTGCTAGGCATCTATAATCAATAATAATGTATGTTCTCAACTGGCTAGAAGAGAGTAGCTCAAGTGCTCTCATCACGAAGAAATGATTTATTTTTGCAAAGATGAATATGCTAATAATCCCAATTGGATTATCTCACATTGTATACATGTATTGAAATTTATTAACGCTATACCCTCAATACGTGCAATCGATAAGTGTCAATTAAAAAAAACACCACATGATTTTTGTCCCAAAAGAGTATATCTCATTTAGTTGAAGAGTCTCAAATATGTTGAATACAGAAACCATTCTGAACAGTGTGAGTATGTATGTTTATAGATAAAATCATGTTTTCTAGATTGTAGGAACTGATAAAAGAGAGATAATCATAAGGTGAATCATTAAAGGAGGCTTGCTGAATGAGATTGGGATTGAATTGGGCTTTTAAGTAGCAAAAGAATTTGGAAAGGTAGAGAAGAATGGGAAAGAAATGCATTTCAACATGCATGAAGAACTAGGCAACTGAACAGAGGCAAAAATAAATATGTGTATATAAGGGGGATTAAAAGGACATGTGATAGCGGATAAGTTAACACATAGAAGAAATTATGGAGCATGATTATGGAGGACATAGAATGTTAGGTGAGGGGATTTATATTTAACATCATAGATGGTGAGGAGAAATTGAGGTTTTCGAGTAGCGAAGTGGTATAATACGAGTAAATGTAAGGACATTTGAAACTGAGATATATAGAAAATCAGTTTGACATCTCAAACTTCATTTTTCTCACCTCTTTCTGGTAGGGAAGAGGGAGGTAGATTTGAAAGCAAAAAGAGGTATGAAAAGAGAACATATGGGATGTTATCCACTGAAGTACTTGGGCATTTAAACTTGTGGTGGGAGCAGGGAGGGTATCATAGACTCGTTAAAAAAAAATCTGTTTAAAAGCTATAGACCCTCTCTTCAGAAAAATGCAAATGAATTTAAAAATCTGCATATAATTTTAGGTGCTTTACAGACTATAAGTTTCCCTTTATTAAACTAAACTCCTTTAGGGACAAAATTGTCTCTTCTTTCTCTGTATCCCCAGCATTTGTGTCCCCGATATTTGTTGAATAAATGAATTACTTTATACCTGTCTTTTCTTCCATTTGGGATGCTTCCCTTATCTACCAGAGAAACTATGTGTCTTTTGAAGTGTCTCAAACATCATTCCACAATGTAAAGTTAGGTGTTTCTATCTCTGCTCTGTGGCTCTTACCTCATATTGTAGTAAGAGCTACCTGTTGTTGAACTCATACTCTGTCAGGTATACTACCAGGCCCTTTGTTCTATGTGTTTCTTTTCCTTATAACTTCTTTTTGAGATAGATATTTTTACTCCTATTTTGCGGATGATAAATTGATACCAAGGTTTCACAAGGAATGGAACAAAGATTTGGACTTATTTTATTAAATTGTTTTTCATATTTGTTTAAATGTCTGTTTCTTCCTCCGTTCAAAATTCATCAATGACAGGGAACTTCTTCTAATTATTGTGGCTTATGCTTTTAGTAATAAGAGTTTACATGACTATAGAAATACAGTGATTTATGATTTTTTTTTTTGAAATTGTAACAAGAAAATGTAAGATATCTCTCAAATTTTCTGAATCTGTGTTTTGGGCATACCTGAGACAGATTATCTACCAAGTCCGTGATGAATCTTGCATTCTTCTACCTGGCCTGAAATTCAGTTCTAATGTAGAATCTATGTATAATGCTAATTTTGGGTTAAAAGATATATTATTTGTAGTGCATTTACATCATAATCTTCCCCAGCCCTCATCAGGTAGATAGATATGGATAAAGCAAGTAGAGAATTTCCGTTTCAGACACAAGTCATCCAGCAGGAAGTGGAAGAGCAGGATTTAAAATCAGGTATCTTAGGGTTTGTGTTTTTACCCCACTCTATTATGGTTGGGTGACTTTCGGCTAGGGCTTAAAGTTTAAAATAGTTCCAAATAAATGCCAACTCCAACAGGACAGCACTTCTATATGTTATTGTTCAATATTTATCTCTGATCACATTAAATTTTATGTTATGTGTTTCATTTTTGCTTAGGTAAATATGCTGAAGATATATTTGGAGAATTGTTCAATGAAGCACATAGTTTTTCCTTCAGAGTTAACTCTTTGCAAGAACGTGTGGACCGTTTATCTGTTAGTGTTACACAGCTTGATCCTAAAGAAGAAGAATGTAAGTTTATTCATACTATATTTTATTTGACATATATGTTTTAAGTTAGATAAAATGAGCCATATATTTAAGTACATTATTAAACATGAATTACAAATCCTTTTACCATGACCTTTGCTGTACATGTTGTAATAAGTCAGAGAATTATCTATAAATGCCATCAAGGTGACTCTCTTGGCTTTTCTTTTCTACTTTTTTTGGGGGGGCAGGGGGTTGCTGGCTCATTGGGGATCTGAACCCTTGACCTTGGTGTTTTAACCTTGGTGTTTTAACCCTTGACCTTGTGCTATAACCAATTGAGATAGCCAGCCAGCCTCTCCTTTTTTTTTCTTTATGTCTTTGTACACTAAATATTTTAACAAGACTATTTTCTCAATTCTCTTTCTCTTTTCTTTTCTCCCTTATACTTTATTTGTATAGTTTTGTTTTAGAAATACCAAGATATTAAATCAGGGATATCAGGTAATTAAAGCCATACTACAGGCTAAAATGATGATAGAAATTTTAGTGACAGAATACATTGAATGCTGATGTTTCCCAAATGCCTCTTTCTGTTTGTTTTTACAAAGAGAAATGGAACTGCTAAAAACATAATTTTTAATTATCCACCATAGAGAGTTTAACGTGAGTCTCTTATAATCCTCCCTTGAAAATATTTTTTGTTGAATAATATTTTTAGTGTAAATGCAAGTTATATAATAGATCTAAACTTGAACAATAAAAATGTTAAAGGATGTCACTTGAAAGAGCAAAAAGAATGTAATGATGGATGACTTAGTGACTGAACCAACTACTTTTGACATAATCTAATTTAATGTGTAAATAAGGAAAGGCAGATACTTACCATGCTAAGTTTCTACAGCTTGTGAAGATATAAAATCATAGCTCTGGATGCAAAAAAAAAAAAAACAGAATAGTACTTTTTAAAATCAAACAGCTTTATTAAGATGTATTTTATACCCTACACCTTACAATTCATCCATTTAAAGTTGAAGTGTACAATTCACTGTTTGTTTTTTTAATATATTCAACAGACTTATGGAACTCTCACCACAATCAAATTTAGAACATTTTTATCACTCCAAAAAGAAACCCCATACTCCTTAGTAGTCACTCTCCACTTCCCCTCCCCCCCAGCCCCTAGCAATCACTGATCTACTTTCTATCTCTATGGATTTGCCTATTCTGTACATTTCATATGAATAAATAATACAGTATGTGATCTTTTGGGACTGGCTTCTTTCACTTAGTGTAATATTTTCAAGGTTCATTCATGTTGTAACATATAATTGTATTTCCCTGATGATTAATGATGTTAAACATCTTTTCATGTGTTTCAGGCCATTTGTACTTCTTTAGAGAAATATCTATTCAGTTTCTTTGCCTGTTTTTAAATTGGGTTATTTGTCTTTTTATTGTTGAGTTGTAAGAGTTTTGTTTATATTCTGGATCCAAATCCTTTATCAAATATATGATTTACAAATATTTTTTCCCATTTTGTGGGTTGTCTTTCTTCATGGTATCCTTTGAAGCATGTACATTTACATTAGTTACATTTCATGAAATTCTTGAAATAAAATCATTGCTAGTGGTAAAAAAAGAAAAAATTAATGGACATGCTTTCAAATATATATAATTGATACCCCAAATTTCTTTTTTAAATAACTCAAATATTTAAGTTATAAATGTATGCCATCTAATAATAGAGAAACGCACAGGAAGTTATCATATGTAGCAGAAATAAAAATTAACATTTAGTTTCTAAATACTGTTAAATTTTTACAAATGTCTTAGCACCACCATTAAACATGAAAGTGAAAATACATATACCAGTAAATAAGGTGTATGTATTAAAAAACAAATCTTAATGTGTCAATAATTATACTCTCAGAATTGTCATAGTTTCCTTTAAAATTATGTGAAACAATGGGAAAGAATTCAGAATCTAAAAGCTGAACTTCTTAATTTGAATTTATTTTGGGGAGGNTTTGTGGGAGCTAATAAAAATAAATAAACATACAAACAAATAAATGGGGGGTGGTGGGGGCGGGGAGAAGACACTACAATCACTACAAGTCCTTGAACTTGTTGAGACAAGTGACCAGATATGATGTTGATGGGGGTTGAGGGGGAGAGGGAGGAAAGGCAGAATTGGTAAAGGGACATGAAAATTAACTACATTGTATACTGATAAATTAAAAACAAAAACAAAAACATATTGAAATATCATCTCAACCTAGTTAGACTGGCCATTTGTAAATTAGTACAGCCATTACGGAAAACAGTATAGAGGTTTCTCAAACAACTACAGATGGAACTACCATATGATCCAGCAATCCCACTACTGGGCATAAATCCAAAGGAGTGGAAATCATGTCAAAGGGATACCTGTACGCCCATGTTCACCACAGCTCTATTTACAATAGCCAAAATATGGAACCAACCTAACTGTCCCTTGATGGACAACTGGATAAGGAAAATGTGGTATATATACACAGTGGAATACTACTCAGCTATAAAAAAGAATGAAATTCTGCCATTTGCAGCAACATGGATGAGTCTGGAAAAAATTATGTTAAATGAAATAAGCCAGAGAAGGAAAGAGAAATACCACATTTTATCATTTATAACTGGGTGCTAATACAGAAAGAAAGAAAGAAAGAAAAGAGCAAAACAATATGTTTTACTTTCAGAAGGGGAAAGCAAACCTAAGGATCGTTGAGATGGCGAAGGAAGGAAGGAAGGAAGGAAGGAAGGAAGGAAGGAAAGAAAGAAAAAGAAAGAAAGAAAAGAGCAAAACAATATGTTTTACTTTCAGAAGGGGAAAGCAAACCTAAGGATCGTTGAGATGGCGGGGGAGGCAGGGACGGGGAGTTTGAGGAGGCATCTGTTGGGTAAAGGGCATAAAGAAAAATCACAATCTGTAATAATAGTATGCTTATAATAAATAATAAAAAAAATGAGCAAGGGAGCTCAACAGACTTTGCAAAAGAAAACATACAAATAGCTGACAGGTATATGGAAAAAGGCTCAACATCACTAATCATCAGGGAAATGCAAATCAAAACCACAATGAGGTATCATCTTACTCCAGTTAGAATGATTACTATCAAAAAGCCAAAAATAACAAATGCTGGCAAGGATGCAGGGAAAAGGAAACTCTTATACACTGTTTGGTGGAAAAGTAAATTAGTATAGCCATTATGGAAAACAGTATGGAGATTCCTCAAAAAACTAAAGATAGAACTACCATATGGTACAGCAACCCACTGCTGGGTATTTGTCCAAAGGAAAAGAAATTAGCATACAGAAAAAACAACTACATCCTTATGTTTACTGCATCACTATTCAATCAACCAAGGTGTCTACCAACAGAGGAATGGGGAAAGAAAATATGGTATATATTCACAATGGAATACTACTGAGTCATATAAAAGAATGAAATTCTGTCCTTTGCGGCAACATGGATGAACCTGGAAGGCATTATGTTAAGTGAAATAAGTCAGGCACAGAAAGGTAAATACAGCATGTTCTCACTCATATGGGAGCTTAAAAAAAAAAAAGTTCAGATTATAGAAGTAGAGAGTAGAATTGTGGTTACTAGATGCTGGGAGGGGGAGGGTGGATTGAGACAGGTTGGGGAATGGATACAAAATCACAGCTAGAAAGGAAGAACAAATTCTAGTGTTCAACAGTAGTGCTAGGCATCTATAATCAATAATAATGTATGTTCTCAACTGGCTAGAAGAGAGTAGCTCAAGTGCTCTCATCACGAAGAAATGATTTATTTTTGCAAAGATGAATATGCTAATAATCCCAATTGGATTATCTCACATTGTATACATGTATTGAAATTTATTAACGCTATACCCTCAATACGTGCAATCGATAAGTGTCAATTAAAAAAAACACCACATGATTTTTGTCCCAAAAGAGTATATCTCATTTAGTTGAAGAGTCTCAAATATGTTGAATACAGAAACCATTCTGAACAGTGTGAGTATGTATGTTTATAGATAAAATCATGTTTTCTAGATTGTAGGAACTGATAAAAGAGAGATAATCATAAGGTGAATCATTAAAGGAGGCTTGCTGAATGAGATTGGGATTGAATTGGGCTTTTAAGTAGCAAAAGAATTTGGAAAGGTAGAGAAGAATGGGAAAGAAATGCATTTCAACATGCATGAAGAACTAGGCAACTGAACAGAGGCAAAAATAAATATGTGTATATAAGGGGGATTAAAAGGACATGTGATAGCGGATAAGTTAACACATAGAAGAAATTATGGAGCATGATTATGGAGGACATAGAATGTTAGGTGAGGGGATTTATATTTAACATCATAGATGGTGAGGAGAAATTGAGGTTTTCGAGTAGCGAAGTGGTATAATACGAGTAAATGTAAGGACATTTGAAACTGAGATATATAGAAAATCAGTTTGACATCTCAAACTTCATTTTTCTCACCTCTTTCTGGTAGGGAAGAGGGAGGTAGATTTGAAAGCAAAAAGAGGTATGAAAAGAGAACATATGGGATGTTATCCACTGAAGTACTTGGGCATTTAAACTTGTGGTGGGAGCAGGGAGGGTATCATAGACTCGTTAAAAAAAAATCTGTTTAAAAGCTATAGACCCTCTCTTCAGAAAAATGCAAATGAATTTAAAAATCTGCATATAATTTTAGGTGCTTTACAGACTATAAGTTTCCCTTTATTAAACTAAACTCCTTTAGGGACAAAATTGTCTCTTCTTTCTCTGTATCCCCAGCATTTGTGTCCCCGATATTTGTTGAATAAATGAATTACTTTATACCTGTCTTTTCTTCCATTTGGGATGCTTCCCTTATCTACCAGAGAAACTATGTGTCTTTTGAAGTGTCTCAAACATCATTCCACAATGTAAAGTTAGGTGTTTCTATCTCTGCTCTGTGGCTCTTACCTCATATTGTAGTAAGAGCTACCTGTTGTTGAACTCATACTCTGTCAGGTATACTACCAGGCCCTTTGTTCTATGTGTTTCTTTTCCTTATAACTTCTTTTTGAGATAGATATTTTTACTCCTATTTTGCGGATGATAAATTGATACCAAGGTTTCACAAGGAATGGAACAAAGATTTGGACTTATTTTATTAAATTGTTTTTCATATTTGTTTAAATGTCTGTTTCTTCCTCCGTTCAAAATTCATCAATGACAGGGAACTTCTTCTAATTATTGTGGCTTATGCTTTTAGTAATAAGAGTTTACATGACTATAGAAATACAGTGATTTATGATTTTTTTTTTTGAAATTGTAACAAGAAAATGTAAGATATCTCTCAAATTTTCTGAATCTGTGTTTTGGGCATACCTGAGACAGATTATCTACCAAGTCCGTGATGAATCTTGCATTCTTCTACCTGGCCTGAAATTCAGTTCTAATGTAGAATCTATGTATAATGCTAATTTTGGGTTAAAAGATATATTATTTGTAGTGCATTTACATCATAATCTTCCCCAGCCCTCATCAGGTAGATAGATATGGATAAAGCAAGTAGAGAATTTCCGTTTCAGACACAAGTCATCCAGCAGGAAGTGGAAGAGCAGGATTTAAAATCAGGTATCTTAGGGTTTGTGTTTTTACCCCACTCTATTATGGTTGGGTGACTTTCGGCTAGGGCTTAAAGTTTAAAATAGTTCCAAATAAATGCCAACTCCAACAGGACAGCACTTCTATATGTTATTGTTCAATATTTATCTCTGATCACATTAAATTTTATGTTATGTGTTTCATTTTTGCTTAGGTAAATATGCTGAAGATATATTTGGAGAATTGTTCAATGAAGCACATAGTTTTTCCTTCAGAGTTAACTCTTTGCAAGAACGTGTGGACCGTTTATCTGTTAGTGTTACACAGCTTGATCCTAAAGAAGAAGAATGTAAGTTTATTCATACTATATTTTATTTGACATATATGTTTTAAGTTAGATAAAATGAGCCATATATTTAAGTACATTATTAAACATGAATTACAAATCCTTTTACCATGACCTTTGCTGTACATGTTGTAATAAGTCAGAGAATTATCTATAAATGCCATCAAGGTGACTCTCTTGGCTTTTCTTTTCTACTTTTTTTGGGGGGGCAGGGGGTTGCTGGCTCATTGGGGATCTGAACCCTTGACCTTGGTGTTTTAACCTTGGTGTTTTAACCCTTGACCTTGTGCTATAACCAATTGAGATAGCCAGCCAGCCTCTCCTTTTTTTTTCTTTATGTCTTTGTACACTAAATATTTTAACAAGACTATTTTCTCAATTCTCTTTCTCTTTTCTTTTCTCCCTTATACTTTATTTGTATAGTTTTGTTTTAGAAATACCAAGATATTAAATCAGGGATATCAGGTAATTAAAGCCATACTACAGGCTAAAATGATGATAAAAAAAAAAAACAGAATAGTACTTTTTAAAATCAAACAGCTTTATTAAGATGTATTTTATACCCTACACCTTACAATTCATCCATTTAAAGTTGAAGTGTACAATTCACTGTTTGTTTTTTTAATATATTCAACAGACTTATGGAACTCTCACCACAATCAAATTTAGAACATTTTTATCACTCCAAAAAGAAACCCCATACTCCTTAGTAGTCACTCTCCACTTCCCCTCCCCCCCAGCCCCTAGCAATCACTGATCTACTTTCTATCTCTATGGATTTGCCTATTCTGTACATTTCATATGAATAAATAATACAGTATGTGATCTTTTGGGACTGGCTTCTTTCACTTAGTGTAATATTTTCAAGGTTCATTCATGTTGTAACATATAATTGTATTTCCCTGATGATTAATGATGTTAAACATCTTTTCATGTGTTTCAGGCCATTTGTACTTCTTTAGAGAAATATCTATTCAGTTTCTTTGCCTGTTTTTAAATTGGGTTATTTGTCTTTTTATTGTTGAGTTGTAAGAGTTTTGTTTATATTCTGGATCCAAATCCTTTATCAAATATATGATTTACAAATATTTTTTCCCATTTTGTGGGTTGTCTTTCTTCATGGTATCCTTTGAAGCATGTACATTTACATTAGTTACATTTCATGAAATTCTTGAAATAAAATCATTGCTAGTGGTAAAAAAAGAAAAAATTAATGGACATGCTTTCAAATATATATAATTGATACCCCAAATTTCACATTTACATTAGTTACATTTCATGAAATTCTTGAAATAAAATCATTGCTAGTGGTAAAAAAGAAAAAATTAATGGACATGCTTTCAAATATATATAATTGATACCCCAAATTTCTTTTTTAAATAACTCAAATATTTAAGTTATAAATGTATGCCATCTAATAATAGAGAAACGCACAGGAAGTTATCATATGTAGCAGAAATAAAAATTAACATTTAGTTTCTAAATACTGTTAAATTTTTACAAATGTCTTAGCACCACCATTAAACATGAAAGTGAAAATACATATACCAGTAAATAAGGTGTATGTATTAAAAAACAAATCTTAATGTGTCAATAATTATACTCTCAGAATTGTCATAGTTTCCTTTAAAATTATGTGAAACAATGGGAAAGAATTCAGAATCTAAAAGCTGAACTTCTTAATTTGAATTTATTTTGGGGAGGTGGCATTGGAGGACTTTTTAAGTCATTTAACCTAGATTTTAAACTCAGTAGGGAATCCAGGGGCCGAGGGCCTCAGCCATGCCCACCCCCAACATCCACATCCAGCCCAGTGAAATCCACTGATAAAGGGCATAAAGAATAACTATGATATGTAACAATGAATATGCTAATAAAAAATTTAAAAATTTTTAAAAAGAACAGGTGCAAGAAAAAATAATAAACTTCCCTCTTAGTACTGCTTTGCAGTATCCCATAAAAAATAAAAATAAAAAATAAACTCGGTGGGAGTTCAGACAAAATAATAATATGAATACAATACTAAATTACAGAGTGTAGTGTCAGTTTTTAAAATTACCACTAGGTAGTAAGTAACAGTGAAAACTACAATATAATTTAGAAAATATGTAAAAAGTAAGTTTTAAACAAAGACTTGTGCAATTATATTTAATTCACTTTTGTTTACAAACATATTGTGCTAACTTACTGTTATATAAAACTATTTAAGTAATATCAGATGTTATTGTTGGTGACTGGAAGGGGCTTTGTCACAGTGGCCTGTTAGCAATAGAAGAAATGATAAATGAGAGGAGTTGAAGATAGAAAAGTACATCATGTTTATTACTCTACATGCTATTTATATCTGTTACCAAAAAAATCTGGGGGGATTAAACAGTAGGTTCCATACTTAGGGTTAATAAGTAGGGTGGGCAAGTGGCAAGAATTGATCCATTTTGATTGCAGAAAACATGGGACACTTCTGACAGGATCCTGAGAACAGTATGTAGGTATTATGGCAAAAGGACTAGCCTCAAAGGCAGACAGGTCTGAGTTTTCTGTTCTAGCTCCACTGCTTATTAACCATGTTATATAATATTTCCTAGCCTTGGCCTTTTTATATTTGAAAATGGAATAATAATTCTTATCTCACTGAATTGTTGTAAAGATTAAAGGGAATGTAAATTAATGAAAGCATCTAGCACATATAGTATGTACTCATTAAATATCTCCCATACCACTCTTTAGTGAGGAAAAAACTTTTTCCTTCTCTGAATTTTATTTTGGTGTTTACAAGTGTTACAAGTCATGCAGCAGTGGAATTGCTAGAAATGCATTTATGATATGGCCATTGCAGAACCAGCCGCATTGCCCCACCTGTGTCATAGGCCCAAATGTTCATATTGAGTGAATTTTACTTGTGAGGATAATGGAGATACTATTTTAGGGAAAAGAAGAGTGATAGTTAAGAACTGGTTTGGTTGTTCAGTACTGACCTTACTATGGTATAAAGCATTTGTCTGTATACTTAAGGACATATGTAATAAATTAAAAATGGTCTAATTTTTTAATATCAGTAAGTCACTCTAAAAGTTAAAAATACAGTATTTAGGTGCAGTCCTTATTTTAAAGAAAATGAGTAAGTGAAGTTATTTTTAAATCATCATATATGAGGGTACTTCATAAAATTCATGGAAAAATAGAATTAGAAGATAATAGGATTATTTCCAGAAACTTTCTGACATACCCTCATATGATGGCCGTGATGGAACTATGTAAGTTATTGGGGATACTAATGTACGAGACAATCTCAGTCTTTAAGAGCTTATAATTAGGTAGAAATCCTTATAGTACAGATAAATGAAAGCGAGAATAATATAGATTACCCGGTACTTGAAAATATTTTCTTTACAGTAAGTTTGTTTTTCTTTTATAGGACATGTATAATATTTATAGTATATATATACAGCACAGAGATCAACACTGTGTTTAGCCCAGAATTGCCACTAGTAACTAAATGATTCCTTCAGAGTTATTTTTTTTTTTTTGTCCTTTTTGAGACCGGCCGCACCACGCTCAGCCAATGAGTGCTGTGAGCGCACTGGCCATCCCTATATAGGATCCGAACCTGCCGCGGGAGCGCTGCTGCACTCCCAGAGCCGCACTCTCCCGAGTGCGCCACAGGCTCGGCCCTCCTTCAGAGTTATTGAATGAATAAAGGGAGAAAGGGAAAAAAGATTACAGAGGAAAAGAAGAAGAGAATCTAAGTTGGTGGAGGCCAAGGATGGCAAGTAGAGAAAAGAAAAAGGTCTGTTTGGTAGGAAATGTAGACATGCTTCTGGTGCTATCAGGGACTTCTAAGCCTTAGAAAACAAAGGTTGCATTAAAACCCATGGGACTGGGAGAATTAGGCACAGAATGGTAGGAGTATTTATAATGATAGAGCATTTCAGAATGGTTCCCAATTCATAAGCCACTAAGGTCACATCCTCTTGAATCATGCTGACTGTTAAATACAGTATATGAATTTTTCCTTATGTTAAATGATATTAGTAAAATAAAATAAAATGAATTCTTGATTTTTGTTTCAGTGTCTTTGCAAGATATAACAATGAGAAAAGCTTTCCGAAGTTCTACAATTCAAGATCAGCAGCTTTTTGACCGCAAGACTTTGCCTATTCCGTTACAGGAGACGTATGATGTTTGTGAACAGCCTCCACCACTCAATATACTCACTCCATATAGGTCAGTAGGTTAATCAATAAGAAGGCCTGTTATCAGACTTCAGATTTAAATGGTAAATTTCCCATCCTTCATTTCTCTGGGTTTCTTGCCAATACAGAGAGCCCTACCTATCTACCACCTTTAGAAAAACTTTGCTACATTTACTGGATGAGTTCCTAAGGTTCCAGCATACAAAAGACAAGACCTACTCAAGGGAGTTGTTCTGACAAATATTATTAAGAAAAGCCACTGGCAAACTTATTAATATGAAGAGATAAAGAATTATTTTGTACTTTTAATTTAATTTTTAATGAAATAGAAAATTTACCTAAGGTTCCAGCATACAAAAGACAAGACCTACTCAAGGGAGTTGTTCTGACAAATATTATGAAGAAAAGCCACTGGCAAACTTATTAATATGAAGAGATAAAGAATTATTTTGTACTTTTAATTTAATTTTTAATGAAATAGAAAATTTAAAAAATAAACAACTCAAAATTCCACCATGCTAGCAAAATAAATATCATTTTTCCTTGTTCTATCTACTCTTGATCTGTATACATTAACTTTTTACATAATGAATATGTAGTATTTGTTTTAAAAATACTTTTTGCCATTTAAAATAAAATCTGGGATTATTCAGTCTTTCTTTGTAGTCCTTTTACATGATTTGTTAAATGGGTAATTTAAAATGCACAACACATATCCTAAATAAAATGATATTCAAATAGTTACTTGAAACTGTAAGTCATTGGATATGAATGCAGGTCATTGGATATGAATGTTCCTATTAGAATGACTATTAGGTGATATCTTTTGAATTTAGTAAGATAATAGATAAATTAGAGTATTGGTAGAAATTGTAGACTTTCTGTATTCTAAAGGATGTCTCTGTCTATTCAGGCTTTTATCTTTGGAAGAACTATTTGTAATTATTGGAATTTCCCAAAGAACTTTTAGAAAATTTCACATTCATAAGAAGTTAGGGATGAAAATTGCCCAGCTGTACTTTAAATTATTATTACAGCTCCAAAAAGTATCTGGTTTTCCATTTTCCTTAGTTTCCTTTCTGACTTGTGAGAAATGTTTTATTGGTGCAGTATTCCAATTTATGTCAGTATTTTATTAATGTAAGAAAAAAATTTCAGTAAAATGATTTCTATTCTGATTGCCTCGCTACATCTTCCTAATGAATATTTTAATTGATATTTTCTATTTCAGAGATGATGGTAAAGAAGGTTTGAAATTTTATACTAATCCTTCATATTTCTTTGATCTGTGGAAAGAAAAAATGTTGCAAGATACAGAGGATAAGAGGAAGGAAAAGAGGAAGCAGAAGGTATTAAAAGAGGTTCAAAAAATTGAAGTTGTTTTTTTTGTGTTTTTGTTTTGTTGCATATATAGAACTTTATTAATCCTGTACTTTGGCAGTTTAATTTTATAGGGGTTATATAGTCAAATACCAAAGTCTTTATAACCACACAGAAAGATCACAGTCTAATGGGGAGCAGATGAGCAATTAAAGTATTAAAATATGGTATCATAAGTGCCATAACAGGTATGCATAGAGGGTTTGGGTAGCACAAGATAGCATCTGCTTTAGCCAGTGGACAGGGTTGGTAAACATTTCCAACAAAGCTTATAATGAATCTTGAAGAACAAAGAGGAATTAAATGGAACATGAAAGAGAAGGGCATTCTGGTAAGAAGAAACAAAGGAATATTGTGCAGATATTGATAAAGTAGGTTAAGCTAGTATTTTCTTGCCACAGAGCATATCCTAAATGCTTTGGAGAGGTTATTATATTCTCACTAAATTCCTGTTATCTGTCTGCTATGTTGTCATTTTTCACTTTCTAACAAAATTCACTTGGATCTGCTTTATTTCATGTTAATGATAACAGAAAATATAGAAAGAAGAAGCAAGTTGGATTTAGGCAGAATTATTAAGGAGGTGAAGTCTGTCTTCATCATCCCTCTGTTTCTCCTATAGCTATGTCTAGTCTCCCTAATCTTTATGATGCCCTCATGTTATCATCTTCTGTGCTAGATGGTATCTCAGTGTTCTAGCCAGCATTTGCAGACTGGTGACTGGCAAGCCAGCTTACTCCTGCAGGCAGAATTTTGTTTGCCAAACAGAGGGGTTTTAAATTTTGGAACTGGAATGCCTTAGATGGACTGTCTAGTTTGCTACGTGCCCCATCTTACACCTGACTAGCTTCATTTATGTATGTTACCTGCTTGACCCCTTTGAGCATTTGAATTTGTTATACCTGCTGTAGACTTTCTATGCTTTCTCCCCCAGTTTGAATCATTTTTTGCTGTGTTGTTTAAAGAACCTGTTTTCTGTTGAGTGACACAGTTATTATGAGTTAATTTGATAATTGGATTTTTCCTAATGTGTTGGCTAATTAATTAATTGGTCACTTCCCAGATAACATAACTTTAGTAAATTCTCACATTTTAATTAGAGGTTGACAGTGCCATTCATGGTAGAAATTTCAAACTAATAGATATGGGAACAAGTATTAGTAAATCTCTTTTCATCTGAAAAGACTTTCTGACCTCGTTTTATTACTTAGCCATACTATTTTGTATCTGGTGCATCATTTTGAATTAAGGGTTGAAAAAAATCTAATAGATATGGGAACAAGTATTAGTAAATCTCTTTTCATCTGAAAAGACTTTCTGACCTCAAGTTTTATTACTTAGCCATACTATTTTGTATCTGGTGCATCATTTTGAATTAAGGGTTGAAAAAAAACATGACAGGAAACTGTGATTACACCAAATTAGCTAAGATTTAACTCTGAGTGTATGACTGAAATGTCTCTGTGTTACTTTTACTATTTTATGATGACATTGTCTTTTTCAATATTGATATTAGAATTAGATATTAAAATTTCAATATTGATATTAGAATTTTGATTGTTATAACCTCTTTTTAAAAATTAGCACTTCAGCATTTGGCTTTGTTTCAATACATCTGTTATAGCAGAAAAACCTAGATCGTCCGCATGAGCCAGAAAAAGTGCCAAGAGCACCACATGACAGGAGGAGAGAATGGCAGAAACTGGCCCAAGGTCCAGAGCTGGCTGAAGATGATGCTAATCTCTTACATAAGCATATCGAAGTTGCTAATGGCCCAGCCTCTCATTTTGAAACAAGGTTTCTTTTCTTTTCTTTTTACAAAAAAACTAATGATAAAACATTGGCTTTATTTGTAACATGTGTCCTTCTAAGTTTTGGATTTTAAACTGTTGAACTGGCAGAACCTGTTATAAATATAGGTATGATTTCAAAACTCCGACCACTGTGAGCTACTGAAGTCTGACTTTGTCAACTGTAGAAAGAGGTGGTTGGAGTAGATGATCTTCAGGGTTGTTACTAGCTTTCATATGAAGTCTCAACTCTCTCTCAATGTTTCAGGCAGAGTCTGCTAGAATCTTATAATAGAGGAGTGGAGTCTGGAATTTTTTAAAAAGTATTATTGATTTATTACATATAAAATAAGAGATGAGAAGGGGTTCTATTTTGCTCCTTTTTCTTTCCCCTGACTTACTTGCTGTGCCACATCTCCTACCTCAGATATATTAGGACTTTCAAACAAAATTATTCATCATCTTTTGCAGAAATATAGAATAGATCCTTTTCCTTTCTCAGTGGCGAGGGGCCCTATCTAAGTAACATGCTACCGTAACAAACATTATACTGGTATCCCTCAGTGAATAAAGTTATTAGTGTATAGTCATGTTGATTTTCGAATGGAAAAGAACTTAAGGTTTTCTTTTTAATAGTACATGTAAATTATTGGGCCATAAGCATAAAACATCTTGACCTATTTTAGGAGAAATATACATATGGTAGACACTATCAGCATTACTGAAAGAATTGAAATTTAAAAATTAGTAATCTTTACACAAACATTTATACTACAGTTAAATAATTATGGCATTTATCTGACCCATTAGTATAAGTACAATAATTTCTGACTTGCTCTGTGCACACTTAACCCCAGAATGCAGTATGATAAGTAAATATTTATGAACCTTCCCATGCTCGATACCGAAAATTTTGCTTAAGTCTGATCTAAGTCACACGTTATGTTATTCAGTGTGCACACTTAACCCCAGAATGCAGTATGATAAGTAAATATTTATGAACCTTCCCATGCTCAAGATACCGAAAATTTTGCTTAAGTCTGATCTAAGTCACACATTATGTTATTCACCTATTTCCTGAGTATCCTGGCAGCTTGGAAAACACCAAAAGGAGAAAAAATGATATAGATAGCCATCTCTGTGGTGCTAGAATCTGGGAGCTGTTTCTCCCTGTTGCAAGACTTTTGGAAGTCAAGCATCCAATTTTCATATTCTACATTTATGTCATTGGCGTCTTCTTGTGAAGACGTAAATGAAATAGAGACAGATGGCTTTGAACATGATTTGGTAAAAGTTAATTATTTCTTGTTTATAAGATTATAGTATATATGGGGAACTTCAAAAGTTTGTGGGGGAAATGCAATTAAAAGATAATACAAATCTTTCCATGAACTTTTTGAATTACTCTCATATGTCATACTTTTTATCGCTGTGAACTGAATTAGTATTCTATTATAAAATAATAAAATAACTGATGGTCATCATAATAAGCCTAAATCAGCAAATAAATATTGCATTGTGAACAGCATTCTTTGTTTTTAAAGCAGGATTAATGTTCAAAATTTTTGAAAGAAGTTTCATAAAAATAGTTAAAATATTGGCATTCAAAGGTTAAACTTTAAGTATCTCATGTTAAACACTTTATTTCTCTAATAATTCAAGAGGAATACACTGATAATATGTTTCCTTTAGACCTCAGACGTATGTGGATCATATGGATGGATCTTACTCACTTTCTGCCTTGCCATTTAGTCAGATGAGTGAGCTTCTGACTAGAGCTGAGGAAAGGGTCTTAGTCAGACCACATGAACCACCTCCACCTCCACCAATGCATGGAGCAGGAGATGCAAAACCCATACCCACCTGTATCAGGTATGTTGGGACAAGCATATGGTGTTTTATTTTAGGGGCTGGTAACTTTTTCCTTCAAAGGACCAGATAGTAAATATTTTAGGCTTTCTGTGCATATAGTTTCTGCCGCAAGTACCCAATTCTGCCATTGTTGCAGGAAAGCAGCCATAGCCTGTATGCATAAGCAAATGAATATGTTTCAATAAACTTTATTTACAAAAACACAGAGCAGGTCAGATTTAGCCTGTGGGACATAATTTGCCATCCTCTGATTAGAGTTGACACATTCTCTTTGGAAAATTTAGCTAATAACAATTTACTTTAAAGATTAAAGTATGTTTCATTTTATTATAGCTTTATTATCAAGCACATCATGTGCAGTGTATTAAGAAAAATTAATAATTTTTGGAATGTAGTGTAAGGATCTAAGAAATGAGAACCAAAAATTTGGTTATGGGTGTTAATTTGATATTAAGGAAAATACTTTAAGAATTTCAGAGAGAATAAGCAGTTCATAATAATATTTTCATAAAGCTATTTTGAAGTTTAATCTTGTCAATTGTAATTCAAATTATAAATTTTTAATAGAGAAATATTAGAGAAGTTTTCTAATAGAGACCATCTTTACAATTTTCAGTTAAAAAACCAATCTTCTATCACTGACTCATTTGATGTTTCATCCTCGGGAAGAAAAATGGCTGTAAATTTCCTTTCGTGGTTTGTAATTAGCTGTCATTGATTTAATTGAAATGACATATGATGAGTTTTAATAACTTCAGTATAAGTACAGCATTGTCTTGGCCACAAGTATTGCTACAAATATTGCAAGAGGATAAATATTGAGTCATCACAGATTCATATCACAGTGTAGAATTGAGCATTTTATTTATCAAAGCATAAAATGCTTGAGTGGATATGAAAGTTGCATGAGAGGATGAAACTATTCAGAATATTGGAAATCAAAACACGACCCATTAATTTTCTTGTTGCACTTTTAGTTCTCATTCCTTTCTAAATACTCTTGGAGAATTTAAAATTTCTATAGGAACATGTTAATGCACCTACTTTGATATAATTACTGGTAGTCATTTATAGATTGTGTAGTTAGGTTTTTCTCTTTTAATAACTTGCCAGGATCTCTTTATCATTTCAGTTCTGCTACAGGATTGATAGAAAATCGCCCTCAGTCGCCAGCTACAGGCAGAACACCTGTGTTTGTGAGCCCTACTCCCCCACCTCCTCCACCACCTCTTCCATCTGCCTTGTCAACTTCTTCATTAAGAGCTTCAATGACTTCTACTCCTCCCCCACCAGTACCTCCCCCACCTCCACCTCCAGCCACTGCTTTGCAAGCTCCAGCAGTACCACCACCTCCAGCTCCTCTTCAGATTGCTCCTGGAGTTCTTCACCCAGCTCCTCCTCCAATTGCACCTCCTCTAGTACAGCCCTCTCCACCAGTAGCTAGAGCTGCCCCAGTATGTGAGACTGTACCAGTTCATCCACTTCCACAAGGTGAAGTCCAGGGGCTGCCTCCACCCCCACCACCACCTCCTCTGCCTCCACCTGGCATTCGACCATCATCACCTGTCACAGTTGCAGCTATTGCTCATCCTCCCCCTGGGCTACATCCAACTCCATCTACTGCCCCAGGTCCCCATGTTCCATTAATGCCTCCATCTCCTCCATCACAAGTTATACCTGCTTCTGAGCCAAAGCGTCATCCATCAACCCTACCTGTAATCAGTGATGCCAGGAGTGTACTACTGGAAGCAATACGAAAAGGTAATTTTCTCAGAGCCATGAAAAACATTTGCTATAGTAGCATTGTAAACTTTCTAATTATTTAAGATAATAATGTGTTCCTATTTATAAAATTTTAGATCATCATGATTTTGTATAAATGACCTTTAGAAAGAAAAGCTATATCTAACTTATATTTTAAATCATTTTTAAGAAAATACAGTATATCATATATAATCATTTTATTTTCATTCTTAGTAGGGATTCTTAAAATGTATATTAAGTGAACAAGAAATTTAAAGTATCAGACTTTTTTTTCTTTTTTTATTGAAGCATAACTGATTATACATATTTTGGGGGTACAGGGTTGACTCTATTTGTGTACAATATGTGATGATCAAATCAATATTATTAGCATATTCATTATTACAAATTGTAATTATTTAAAGTATCAGACTTAGATGTTATAGGAAATTTAATTAAAACCCTTTATATTATGTTTAATGCATGTATTAACCCCTTTAAAAATATTTTCTTCAGGGCCGGCCCGGTGCACTGTAGCAGTGCGCCGCTTGGGAGCGTGGTGGCGCTCCCGCCGAGGGTTCGGATCCCACATACAGACTGGTTCCCGCTCACTGGCTGAGCGAGGTGTGGACGCAACACCGAGGGTTGCAATCCCGTTGCCGGTCCCGGTCCGGTACGGGCGTGACACTGAGGGTTGCGATCCATTGCCGGACACGAAAAAAGACAAAAGGAAAAAATGGTCCGGTACGGGCGTGACACTGAGGGTTGCGATCCTTTGCCGGACACGAAAAAAGACAAAAGGAAAAAATATATATATATATATTTTCTTCAATATTAAGGCTGTTCATTTGGAGTGTCAGTGACACTTGCTCTACCAGATGCCTTTAAAGGATTCAGGTTCCTCCTTTAGTAACAAAAGAAAGAGTTCTCATATTCATTCATTCAGTCAACATTTCCTAAGCAACTACTATATGCCAGCACTAAGTATAGAACAAATAAGAGTGACTTTTCTTTAAGTACAGGGGATAATAAAGCCACAGAAAATATATTCATCAGATGTTTAATTTATTTGACCATAGAAGTGATAGAAGAAATGTATCACCTAGTTAACTTTTTAGGGTGTGGTAAGCAGGGAGGTACAATAGACCATGATGGACAAATAAACTGTAGATATCCACTGGGATTTCTGGTAAGTTTCACCACCTAATATAACAGATGATAATGTAATGAAAGATTTAATACCTCTCTAAATTTGATTCCTTCAAATTATTTTTTAATACATCTTGCTTTTTTTCTTATTAGTATTTCTTATGTGTATTTGATTTTATTTCATAAGATTAATAATATCTAGTATCTAGTATTTTGATTTAAAATGAATGGTTTGGATTTACTATATCAGGTATTCAGCTACGCAAAGTAGAAGAGCAACGTGAACAGGAAGCTAAACATGAACGCATTGAAAATGACGTTGCCACCATCCTGTCTCGACGTATTGCTGTGGAATATAGTGATTCAGAAGATGATTCAGAATTCGATGAAGTTGATTGGTTGGAGTAAGAAAAATGCATTGATAAATATTACAAAACTGAATGCAGATGTCCTTTGTGGTGCTTGTTCTTTGAAAATGTTTGATCATTCTAGTGTTTTGCTTTCTTTTCCTTATAATAACCCTTTGCCTCCATAATTTTTGATTTCTAAGAAAAATATTAGCCTACATTTCAAACTAAATGTTTTACAGTGGCTTATTTTACTTTTTTTTCCCTGAAAAGACATAATTTGGTCAACTAAACCACTAAGTATTAAGCATGGGCAGCTGTTGTTAGATTAGCAGATTCAGTTTCTTGATATATCTTAATTGTGCACTTTGTGAATTTTAATTTAAAGAAAGCAACTGAGATTGAAATCTTGAGGGCAGCTGTATCTATTAATGAGCCTTATTCCATTTCCTGATGTTTTTAAAGAAGAAACACTGCCTTGATTATATGAATACACTCAGAAAGTACTTTTAGCTTGTAGTGTTGAATTCGCTTAAAGGAATGCTTGAATTTTTTAATTATTGTTTTATTGTTTTTAAATATTTGCCTTATTTGAATGTTTAGCAGTACCTTCTTCCCACTTATATATTGTGTGGTACAATTTTGCTTGCCTATAGGAGTTTAAAAATTTTCCATGTGAAATACTCTGACTTAAACATACATGTAACTTACATATCTGTTAAGAATAACAGTCTGATTTAATAAATGGTTAATTTTAAAGGTTCATGGGTGTTGCTCTTTGAATAAAATTATTTCTGATTGTATTTATCAAATACTATAAAGTAGGCTCTAAATACGTAGATAGTAAATGAAAATTTTAAAAACAACTTAAGCTATATAATTTCCTCTTAATTGTACAGATTCATATTGTCTAGTATATAGTTTTCATATCATTTTTTCTAAGGTCACAAAATCTGTATTTCTCAAATACTTGTGGTCTTAAAATCTTAACTTGCCATCTAATTTTAGCACACCTTTACTTCAATTTAATAGCATTCTTGAAATTCTGTTTTGCAATGATAAAATGAGTTGTTAATGTTTACACATTTCAGAGTCATGGGTGCAGGAGATGGACCATTAATACCAGTTTACTTAGTTTAAAGAAAAGACTAAATGAGGTTTAAGTAGATTGGTTGTAAAAGTGACTGCAGTCTTCAGCTTTGCCTGTATCTACCCCTTTTACGATGCAGTATTCAGCTCTTCCCATCAATAGGTGTGTTCTGTTCCTACCCCTTAAATCTGAGTGTCCCTGAGGCTTTCTTTGGCCAATAGCATGTGGCAAAAGTGATATTGTGCCAGCTGTAAGTCTAGGCCTCAAGAGGCCTTGCAAACTTCATCTCTCTCTCTCTCAGAACCCTGCTTCTGCCATGGGAATAAGCCCCAGGTGGCCTGCTGAAGAACAGAAACCTCATGGAGGAGAGCTAGTCCAGTGAGGCCATCTTAGACCAGCAAAGCCCAAGCTCACCTGCTGGCTGGCTGTAGACAGATGAGCAAGCCTGGCCAAGATTAGCCTAGCCTAGTCCAGCCCAATGACCCATAAATTCATGAGCAAAAATAAATGTTTATTGTTTTACACCTAAGTTTTGAGGTGGGTTATTTCATACATCATTATTATGGCAATAGATATTTGAAACGTGAGGTTACTTGGTTACTTGATAATTTGGGGGTTATTTAGGCAGTTAAGTAATGACCTGAATCTTTGTAGAATAAGAATAATGAACCAAGTTCAATTGTAGCAATTCGGTCGGGACATAAAAAACATTTCCTAATGGCTTTAATGAACAAATGATTTGATTTGCTGTTTTGGGTAGCTTAGCTTATAACAAGAGATTAGATAGCCATTGAAGTTCCTTTCCAACCTTATGAAAATGTATAGTGTCAAATTTAACTCAAGAAAACACTGCACAATTTAAAGTCTGTCTTCGTAAGTGTGCTTATGGTAAAAAAGCAGCAACTAGAATATATGTTTTATAAAGCTCAGCTGTGGCCAGATAACCAAAACATAATGGTATTGTGGTGTTGGTGCTGTTAAAGATTTCTTGACAAGAGAAGTAGATATGCTAATCAGTAAAGCCCAGCAGTATTTATCCTAAGTAGTTAGATAGATATTTTTTGTTTTTCAGAACATTCTTGGAAGATCAGAAAGTGCCTGCAGACTGAAGAGGCTAGATATGTAGTGTCCATTTTAAAATCAAAGTAACCTCTAAATCTAGATATTCAGCTTAACTTGCTGAGAGAATTTTGGAACAGATTGTTCAGTGGTCAATTTTAATACCCTAAGAAGAATGAAAGTTACTGAGTAATGAAATGACCATCTTCTTATTGAATCACTTTACTATTTAACAAGATAATGCACAAGCATCGAGTCAGAAAAAATATATACCATGGGGAAAATATATAAAATATATATCATTTTTTACCATGGGGAAATAATTAGCTTTACTTTTCTGGGTGAGATCACCCATTTACCTTCCCATATTACCAAATCCAATGAACATTTTTTAGTACTTAATTTATTTAATTTTTATTGTGTTTATTCTGCCTCCTTGACATTTTCAATCCCTTTGGCCTTCCCCTTCCCCTTCCCAATAGTGGCAGGACAGAGGAAGGGGAGGGAGATACCTAGCAGCAGTGGTGTTTGGGATGAAATGCAGTCATTGTGGAGGAAAAGGGAGTTTCTCTATCTTTTCCTAAGTAAGGGATTTTTGTAAGCTTCAGATTTATAAGGCATTTTAAACTATCACCCTGCTTTTTATAACTTACAATCAATTTGGGCAGATGAGATCACTCCCAAAGCATTTTCGTGTGGTAAATACTTATTAAAAGATAAATAAAAATCATGTTTATTTAGGTTGTGGTCTATATATTATGAAACACCTGTTTCTATTTCCACCTTTAGAAAGCTCTACCCTTTCTTTAGTAACCATCTTACATCAGTATTTTCATGAAGTCTTCTCTGATCACCACAATTGGAGTTCTTATTCCTTTTGAATCCCTCTAATTCTTTTATTATAAGTGTTCCTCAAGTGATACTCATACCACTTTACGTCACAGTTTATGACCTGTTTCAGCTTGCCAAATAGATTATTTACAAAACAGTGGGGGCATTGTCTTAAATAGGCAACTTACAATATTTCTTCTTATGAACAGGTTCAAAAATACCCCCTTTTTTGTTCTCTCCACTAGGGCTCTTAACATTATTTCTTCCTAGGCACTGCTACTGTTTAAAACTCCCCACTAATCTCAGTAACACAGTTGATTTAAAACAAGTCCTAATTTCATCTAAACTCTGTATGTGTGTATTTTAATAAATAGAAAGTATAAGAATGACTCTTCTGGCCAGAAGATGAAAATTATTATTTCTGAAGTCATTTCTTAAGGCAAAGAGCAAAATTGAACAAGTGTTTTAATTTAATGGGAATTCTCATTAATTATTTTCAAAACACACATTAAACTTTGCCTTAGTAAACATATAACTGCTGTTTGTTTTTTCATTTTCATTCCATTTATCTTGGCCCCAGTTTTTTTTAAATCCACCTTCCTAAACTGAAACATGTATAAAATAAATTATTTAAAGCTCCCAAATGGTTTAAGAAATTCCTTTGAGAATCCATTATCTCCGCAATATTCATTTAATTAAAAAACTGCAAGTAAACCAATACAAGATATTAATCATGCAATGTCAGGATGGCTTTGCTGTGTTGAACTAACGAAATGGGATATCAAATTCTGGTATTTCTAAGTGGTGTCATATAACTATAATTTATTAAAATCATCTTACTGAAGCCAAACGGAATGCATAGGAACCTTATAATACAAAGAATAAGGTTTTTTTCCCCTTTATTCATTGCCGTACTAAGAATAAATTTATTTATGTTTTCCATGACTTGGCTCTAAAATAAATCAGCAATCTCTGTTGTTTTTCAAGCCTGACAGCCAGGCTCTGAATAAAGAATGAATACCAGCCTTGAATGAACGTTTCAGTCACTTTTTTTAAAAAAAGGCTAGTTATCAATACCTTTTTCTCATTATTGTAAGGCCAGCTGCTCTGACTTTTTTCCTTTAGAAAAAAAAAATTTTAAACACAATTGAGCACGTACTGAAGTCGTCTTTCTCAGGATATTTATAGTTTCTTCTCTTTTCTGTAACTTTGTTTAGTGGTAATGATTTTGAATTTTTTTATATGTATATAAATGTGATCCTTATGTATGTGTATGTGTGTTATACTCAAAGACTTTTTGATAAATTTCTTATCCATTCTGCCTTTAGGATAGCTTTTTCAATACTATTCTTTTGATATAGGATACAGATGTCTCCAGGAGTAATAAAATTCCCTATCTACCTCTCTGGCCTGGAAACAATATAAAAGACACAAAAGCCATTAAATCACAATATGTCTTTTATTGTAACAGCTTCCAATATTAGAGTATCTATTTCATTCTTACCTATGAAAGCCTAGAAATGCTGCACTTTTAACTTTCATGAAAATCTGTAGGAACTATTTATCTAGACCATTTCAGATAAAGGAGCACACCTCCTATTATTAATGGTTTATTTTTATTTTTATATTTCTTTTTATTATATATTTATTATATTTCTTTTCTTTTATTCAACAATATTTTTTGATGCCTACAGAGTTTTGAGACTTTGCTTGCTATTGGGGCCACAACAGTGAATAGACAGAGCCCTACTTTCTGAGTATACAGATAAATTAACAAAGAACAGTGATTGTTATGTTAGGGAAGCTCATAGCGCAGAGACTAAACCTAGTCTAGGAAGTCAGGAAAGGCCTCCAAAAGGAAATGACGTTGTTTAAATGATCTTCTACAAAATACCGTGAGTTTATCAGTAATCTACTTTAAATATAAATTGTCAAATGCAAAAATGTTCAGTCAGTAGCCTGTGCTTTATGTACTACCTTCAATAAGTATTGAGATCAGCAAAGTGTAAAGACACAGTAAAAAAAAAAAAAAAAGGAAGTGACACTGAAGGTTTGAGGTGGACCTAGACACACAAATTTTTAAAAAATTTTATTAATATTATGTTTTTACATTCTATGATGTTGCAGAGCAGTTGGGAGGGTGGGGAGGGGGAAGGGGAAGGAAATGTGATGGAAGAAGGAGGAGGGGCAGGATTGAGGCCTGTGGCATCTCCCCTCATTCCCACAGGGGAGATTGGTGGAGGGGGCTTCCAGTGGTAGCTTGGTCATTGCGGGGCTGGGCACAGATGTCAGGGGTGTGTGGCAAAAGCCCTCACCCCCCATTCCCCGGCTTGGGAAACCAGGGCCTTTCTTGTCGCAGCTTGGTGGTAGTCGCTGGGCTGGTTGTAGGTGTCGGGGGTGGGAGGGGCATGGCCAAAGCCCTCAGCCCCCTACCACCCCTGCTTGAGAGAGCCTGGGGTTAGACACACAAATGTTGAAGTGAGGGTGGGGAGTCTACCAGGCAAAGGAAACAGGTGTGTGAGTGCCTGGAAATGCTTGGTGTAAAGCATGCAAGGAGTGGAAAGGCTAGAAATAGATCAGAAAGGTAAGCAGGTACAAAATCATGAGAGTCTTAGGAACCATATGAAGGAGTTTGCATTTTATTCTATGGGCAATAAAATTAGAGAAGTCACATATCAGAACAGCATTTTTGGGAAGATAGTTGGTGGCTGAAAAGTGGTAAATGAGTTAGAAGTGAGTTTGGAGGTCAAGAAAACAGGCTGTTAGAATAGGTGACAGAAGAT